GGAGACACGCAGCCGCCCGGATGGCGGCGGGGCTCGGAGCCGAGGCGGGCGGGCGGGCGCCGAGAGCGACCTCGCCAGACCCGCGGGTGAACTAGCAAGCTTGGCCGGCGCGGGAGGGAGGGCGCGAGGCGCGGCCGCAGAGAGGGTGCCCGGAGGGCCCCCCGGCGGTCGGGGAGGCTGAGGGGTGCCCGCAGCTCTGCTTCGGAGCTCTCCCCCAAGTCCTCCCAGCTGAGATTCGGGCTTCACGGCAGTCTTCACTTCGCTCCCCTCTCCCGCCTCCTGGAGCGGGCGCTCCGCGCCCACCCTCTTCCCCGGAGCGTGGCCACCGGCTTGGGGCGCACGCACGCCCATCGCGGCGCCAGCCTTCGGCGCCTACCTCGCGGTCCCCTTGCTGCCGAACAGAAAACACACGAAACTTAAAAAAAAAAAAAAAACGTACAAAATGCCCTCCCTGCAAATTAAAAAAAAGAAAAAATCCCTTTTGCTCCTTACACCCGGGAAACGGCGAGGGAGCGACGGGCTTCGGCGGAGGAGCCGCGCTGGGAGCCGGTTCAATCCAGCCCGGCATGGCTCCCCAGGCCTGCCCGGGCGCATGGAGATCGGCGCCGCCGCCACTCGCAGCAACCCCTCTCCCCCGAAATCCGCGGAGCCCGGGCTCACTTACCGAGCGTGTGAATGGGAGCGCGGGCCAGGGGCACCGAGGGGTGCGGCGGGCCGAAGAGCGGAGCCGCAGCTCCGCCGCAGCCGACGCCGGGGCAGCGAGTCGCCAGACAAAGCCCGAGATGGCGAAGCGGAGCGACGGCTAATGGCGAGCCCCACGCGCGGCGCTCCGCCCGCCCCGCTCCGCCCGCCCGCCCGCCCGCCTCGGCGCAGCGCAGCGCCGCTCCGAGCGCTCGCCCGTCAGAGCCGCCTCGGCGCCGCCGCCTCCCGGGCCACCCCGGCCTCGCCTGGCCCCTCCGCCTCCTCCGGGCCACTCAGCCTCACCCCCTTCCCTCCCACCGCGATGGGGGCTGCACGAAAATAAAAAAAGAAAAAGAAAAAATGCTTTTCTTTCTTTTTTTTCTGGTGGGGGGGCAGGGCGGGCGTGTTGAGACTTTTGGGGTTTTTGCCCCCAGCTCGCACTCACCTGCGGAGCCGCCGGGAGGGCTGGGGGTGGGGGCGCGCGGGGCTGGAGCCGGCGAGCGCGGGTTGAAAGCTAGCCAAGCTCTGCAGCGCCCGACCCGGGCGTAGACGCCGCCGCCGCCAGTCCCCGCAGAGAAATCGTCCTCCTACCCCCGCCTCCATCGCTCTGCGTTTCTCTTCCAATCAGCCGGTCGCTTGGCGGCTCCTCCATTCTCCGGCCAAGCCCGCTGCCTAGAGCGAGCTCCACTCCTCCATCTGCTAGCCCGGCTCCTTGCTCCCCTGCCGGGGCCGGCGAAGCGACGTGGGGCCGGAGGGGGATTTGCGAGGGAACCTGCCTGCTTCCCGCTCCCATTGCTCCCTCCCCGCTGCCTTCTGCCTCCTGCTTCTCTCCTGCGTCTTTCCAACTCTCCCCTGTCGCCACTGGTGTGTGTCTGAGTGTGTGCGCGGTTTTTTTTTTTTTTTTTTTATTGCTCTTTGCTTTTGCAACCCTGAAGCCAAAGCGAGGGGGTGGGGGATAAAGGAGGGGGGTGTTACAAAAAAAAAAAAAGGCAAGAAAGAAGCTCTTAGATTTGCAACACATTGAAAAACCGGGGGAGCACCCCGCCTCGCCGGATCTCGGCTCCCCGCGAGGGCCTTCCGGGTTTTAGAGCGAGCCTCTCGTTGTTCTCAAAGCCCCTCACCTCCGCCGGGTTTAGGATCCGAGGTGTCCGAGCAAAAAGTTCTCCCCCGGGGCCGTAGCATGGGGTGTCAGGGTGGGAGTTAGGGGGATTTCTCAAAAAGCAGCAGCCACCCCCCCCACCCTGGTTTCGGTAGTTGGGCCGGGGTTGGGATGGAGAGCCTAATCCGGGTGGGTCTGCGCGAAGGGGCTTCCGGGGCGAAGTGGGAGCCGGGAGACCGCGCTTCGCGCATGGCCCCCTCGGTCGCTGCCTCCTGTCCCCAGCCAGCTCCCCCTTTAATTTTTTTTTTTTTTCTCCCCTCTCCTTTAATCTAATTTCTTCCAACTCCACCTTTGTTGTTACCGGCGTCACGCCCGGACCAGCCAATCCCCGCCATGCAATCAGCTTGTCAAAAAGGCTCGGCCAGCCCTGGGAAAGCAGGCCGCGGGCGCTGCTCCCCCCCCCCCGTTTCTCCCCCCGGGGCGGCGACGGGGAGCCGCGAGGGGAGCCTGGCACCCGGGCCTGGCCGCCCGAGCCGCCGCGGGGCAGCCTTCGCGTAGGCCTCCCGCACCCCACCGTCCTGCGGACCGGGGGTCGAAAGGCCCGGGCGGGGACCACCATCCACCCTCCCACTGCCGACGGCTGCGGTCGTCCGTCTCTGCCTCCCCTCCTCGGAGGAAGGGTTGTCGGGAACGCAGGCAGCCAGAAGACTGAAGAGCGCCTGCCTCCCACAGGCTCGCCTGCGGTCTGGGCCGTCGCTCCCCGGGCAGCGCCATTGCTCCGGGCGCCGGGGGCTCGCAGGCTGCCGGCCTCCCGCCCCACACTGCGTACTGCCCACGGCGCAGCCAGCTGGGTCACCAGCCCCTTTGGACTCTCCCCGGGCACACGGCCTTTTCCATCCTCACTCAACGGCCCCGCTGCTGCTGTAATTCCTCTCGTCTCCTGGGAGAAATGGGATTCCTTTCCCAGGACTTCCACAGCCCACATCTGCCACGTTTTACA